CATGGTGGACCAAGTTACGAAAAAAATTTTTTTACAGATGTTTGAATTTTTGAGAATAAAAGTACTCTTAGTTTCTCGCACGTTACACGAAAGCTTTACGCTTTGAAATGAGAGCAAGTAGATTTTTGTACGATTTTCTTTCAAAAAAGTTATAACAAGTATAAAGTATCAACAATTTTCCATTATTGCGTGTTCAGTTATGCTCCTTACTGCATACAGAATAATTAAACTTTCTCTTTCAATTTCTCTGCATACTCTTAGATTTGTTTCAAATTCGAACAATATAATCGTCATTGCAGTGAAGTCTCAATGTTAATGAAACTCGAGAACGTTGTTGCACAAATAATAAAGCTAAACTCGTAAAAAAATTCCCTACAAGCGTTCGTATACTTTCACGAGCAACTGTTTAGCAATCCCTCGGGCGTGAAAGTGTTATCTAAAAAATGACATTCGTTGGGGTCATAGACGACTACAGCTAGCTTATAAAGTCGCAGAAATTTAATTTTATTCCTGTCCAATGGTCCAACAGCACAACCAGTGAACGAAAAAACGGAAACCGTAACGTCACTGTTAACGTAATTGTCCCCCGGGCCGAGATTGCGTTTTTCGACGCTTTTGCGGTGCGCGGCATGGCGAATAGGAATGAGGCAGGTCAGGACAACGGCGGAGGGACGGTAGTTGAACCGTACACCGCAAGATCTCGACCGCGATCTGTCCTGGATGCTGGTTGGATAATGCGGGATCCGAGTAATAGTTGACACGCGAGCTTTTTGCAACGACCAGCCAAGGACCACTTAAACAATTGCACCGTTCTGTGTTTTACTTAATTTTCGTTTGCCGCTGCTGCCACGCTTAGGAACACGTATTCGCGCTCGGAAAATGTGTAACAAAGTTATCGAAACGGGCGACGAAGTCCGACCCGTGTTTCGTCCCAAAAATAGGCGCGATAAGTTCAAAAGTGTCGAACTTCGGACGACGGGACGCGTACGCCATTCCCTTTCGCCGTGCTTCTACATATTTTAGATCGCTATATTCGCAGCGCAGAGACCTACATTCTCGTTTATAACGCCTGGCTGTGTAAAAATGAAAATGACGTAGAGAGATGTCCTTCGGTTGTTACGAACGGTGCAGCAGGGACTGTAGCAATTCAGTGTTGAGTTCACTTAGTCTTGGAGCTTTTAATTTAATTAAATTTTGGTACTAACTTCTATTATCGATCTCTCTATAGTCAGTCTAACGTGAATTAAACTCTTTACGCTTCTGGCAACTAATTACGTTCTATAAAAAGGCTACTTCCATTCGCGAAACCGCATATTTTACAAAAAATATTTGTTACTCTTTGAAATTAAAAATTAAAAATTTTTTGAAATTAAAAATTAAAAATCGTCCCTAGTACGTCGTGACACATGATTCCTTCAAACATATACGATATATTCGAATGACGTGTGATTCAGTTTATTTAACTCGATCACACAATATTTCACGTAACATGACACTGTAATATCGAACGCGCGTACAAGACTCGGAAGGAAAGGCTTTAATAAATTTCCAAATGATTATTCGGGTCAACCTAGTTTCTCGGGAGTGTCCTAATAGGTATGAACGGAGATGCGCGCGTCAAAGAGTAATTGGATATTCGTGACGGGGCGTTTTAGCTTAAGTTAATAGGACAACACGGGAGACGGAAGTGGGAAATAAAGTTGGACGAGCGAGGTACGCGTCGCAGCGTCGCAGGACTGGCTGTTCAGGAGACAAGGGTTGTAAAATAATCATCGCGGTAAAATACAAGGCGAGGCGCATGCATCGGGGAGCTTGCAAAGTAAAACGAAGTGGCTTTCGTCCTCTCTGTGCTGTCTCTCGTACGAGCAACGACAAGTCCTCGAAGAAGCGCACCAGGCACTCGGGACACGCATGATTCGTAGATAATTTTGTTCACCCTTATAACGTAAGTTTGCCCGGCCGCGTGAAAACTTTCACGGGTCGTCCCGCGTGTCACCGTGTGACGGCCGTGTATGCTCGTGCGCGAGGAATTTTAATTCCGTCTGTGATGCTGCTCGCGCGACCATTCGAATTAAAATTCCTCTCGAGGGCAGGAACAAGGCGCAATTGAAATTTTTCCTTAAACCGCCGTGTTCGTCGAATTACGGAAATGAGGGCCTTCGTGAATATTTTTCGAGGGTCAGGAAGTGGTGTGTGTGCGCTCTCGTGGTAAAGGAGAGACGTCCCGTTGACGTCAGACACGTGCACTGGCTCACGAAAGTATTTCAACGGGGTCATCGTAGGAAATCTTCGTGTATCGTTTATGTTTCATTTTACGTTTGTAACGAAACGTTTTTAAAATTTCATTGGCACTATTATTCTGATTATATTGATCGAGTCGAAATTATCAGATACAGTGCATACGTACACACCCGCTCAGAAATCTGACAAGTATTATATTTGTATAATAAAAGTAGTATGATTGTAAATTATAAATTGTATATATTTACAATATGTTTACAATATTAATTACACAATACAAAAGTATAAATTGTATACAATGTATAATATGCAATATGTAATATAAATCGTTATATTTACAATAAATATAATATATACAACATAATTAAATACAATATATACAAAACATATCTTATGCAATAAAGTCCCTGTGAATATATTGATATTGTGTTATTGTATTGTTATGTTACAATACATATACATATATATAAAATAAAATTAAATTAAGTACAATATATACAATATAATTATATGCAATAAAACATGTAAACATACTTTATACAATAAAGATGTTTTCTGCTAATATATTAATATATTGCATTACGTATTGTATTATAAAATATGTATAGACGATAATCCACGATAAGTACTGAATATTAAAAACGAAAGTTTTAAGTCCTAAGACTTTCGAGCGAGAGTGTCATTTACATACAAAAGTATCACAGATGATCTCACTGAATGTTGAAGGTTACTCATATAATGGAAATTTGTCTATTGAAATTGTGATTCTCTCAGAGTTTAAATTATTATGAATTCTGTACTATTTGTACATGACGCATGCATTATATACAATTGGAATATATGATATTTGCATAATATGGCAAAGACGAGTAATTTTAATGTCTTCGATGCGTTCTGTAATATCGCCGCGGTGTTGCGTTGAAATTTTGACGAAATTCAACTCTAAAGCTACGTATAAGAATAATTTTAGCAATTAGCAACACTGACAAACTAATTTTAAAAATTCCCTCGAGATATGACCCCGTGTTGCTCTCTCGCGTATAAGTTTCGTTAGGTGTGTGTAACAACTCGTTCGAAGGAAGTTGGCGCAGGTACGAAAGCTTGCGGGCCGATTGTTGACCCTCGTGGCAGCTGCGATCCGAAGATATATGCAGAAACGATTACACGCGTCACTTGGTTATTGTCTTTTGCAACAATGGCTGGTTACATTGCTGGTCCCGAGTGGCTTGGGAGAGCGCGACGCGGCGAGATAATAGGTTGCACGTGCCTGGAAGGATCTTTCTTCCTCGTAGCGAGCACTCTCTCGCCAACCTGTGATTAAATTTAATCTCGCCGGCATTGCGAGTAATAATTACGAGAACGATACGCGGCACCGCGGTGTCGGCGCCTTTCAGTTTAGAAAAGAACGTTATTATGGAACCAGCGCCAATTACTGGTGGCAACGCGTTTTACGTTAAATCAACGCTCGCGCTCGCGCTCCGCAAGGTAACGATGATTTGGCGAACAAGGACTATGCGTGTAACTACGAGTGACTCGAAAACGCGAGTCAAGTTCATTTAGGCTTCACGCGTGATCCGTGAGGCGAATTTAGCAAGTTTCGTTCGAGAAACAGAGATCAACAAATTTAGATTAAATAGAACGGAACGAAATGGAAATTTTAGAGATTTGTCATTTTGTAGTTTTCTCAGTCAGAGCTATTTTCTCCGAGTGGAAAACGCAACGTGGGAAACACAAAATTGACACATTTTAATTTCGATGTCTGTTTTAGAGATTAAATATTTCTAATCGTTACCTTTTTACTCGGTAAGATTCACAGTAGGAATATAGACTGTGAACAATTAATTTTCTAATTATTTGGCCTATTTTTAATGTATCAAAATCGAGCAATAAGTTTCTGTCAAACTGAGATCTCGACTAAAATTATCCATTTTTTTTTTTTTAATGCGATTTTATGCTTCATATATTAAAGATTGATGAATACAAGAGCCTTAAAAAGCGACAAAGTCCAGCGTGTAATTCTACTTTTAAATATTTGTTACGACTAATTTGAATAATAAAACGATAAAAAAAAAAGTTAATTAATTCTCACACTGAGAAACGTCGTTCCAAAAACATGTCACAATCCGCGAGATCTACTACTTCAGACGTGGCACAGGCACGATCTCTTGTTCATTGTAATCGAGGAAACTCGTGTACAACCGGGGCGATTGTGTTGAATCGCAGGATTTCGTGGCATCGACTGCTCTCCATTCTTTCATGGCTGGACTGGTATGCGGGCCGGTCGTGTTCCTACAGAAACCAAGAGGTTTCTGTTCAACCTAGAAACCGCCTTTTGCAATCCGTGGACGAGCAAAGAGAGAAAGAGAAAGAGAGAGAGAGAGAGAGAAACAGCAACCGGTAATTAGAAATGATTATTACTCACGCGAAGATCTTCATCGTCTTTCTCTTTTTTTTCCAGTTTGTTTGCGTTTATCTCGATCAAGATTCATCATCGATACAGCTGAATTCTAGCCAAGTAATTACTCGCCTTGTGTCGATTAATTTAATTCGACGAAAATTAATATTAATGTAATCTCACTGGGTTGGCTGAAAAATTTGTAGATGTTTAAATACGGCTTGACGAAGTATTTTCCAACAGGTTTTCAACAAGTTAACTCGTTATACGCAGTTTCGCAATTTTCCAAAAACTCCGCTTTACGCGAGAAGGAGAGATGTTGGCGAGAGGTGAACGAGCAAGCGTGCACGGTTGAAAGTGAAATCAGCATTGCGGAAAGAAACGTTGCGCATAACGAGTAATTGAAGACGCCACACAGTGGGGTTACGCTACTCTTTTCACGGTTGCATGGAAGGCAGCTCGGTGAAACGCTGCCTCTCGAACCTCGTTCAAATGCCATTTTCTTTCTCGAACGATTCTTAGGCCCACGTGGCCACGGCCAAGAAAAGTGGCCCAGTGAACGCTTGAACGTTTCGCTGCTCGGTGGTTTTCAGTGTCGAATCGAAGCCTCGCGATAGATGGATAATTACCGCGACAGCAATTACCAGGCTCGCCTCTGTTTCACTTGCACTTGGCCATGCTTATTAGCGAAAGTTAATGAGTCTGGCCGATGAGTTAACGAGAGAAAATTATTTCGACGAGTGCGCAGTACCTCCTGCAGCCGCCTTCTCTCCTCCTTTCCCTCCGTAGCCGGGGACGAAATTGATTTTCCAATTTAACCGCTGCATCGCCACCAAGTTCGCGAGAGGACGAGAGCAAGAACCGATCCCGCGGCAGTAGTTCTTCGTTCGATCAAACCGCGGTTCGACCTTCCACGTCGATTCGATTCACTTTCCTCCAAAGAAATCGTCGATCAGCTTGAATGAACACTGGAGGTCACCAAGATGGTTAAAATTTCACCGATTTGTAATATTTTCCAGATTATTGCAAATTTCCCAGATTGAATTTTTAGAAATTTCTCGACGAGAATGCATTTGTTAAGATTCGAGTAAAACGTAATAGATTTTGCAATATCGTAATCTATATAATGCAATCTTCATCGTATTGCAAAATTCTCCTCATCCCTTGTATTTGAATTTATCTCTGGTACAAGTTTGTACACTTTGATTGTCGGTAGTTCTAGCGTTAAACGTTAAAACGACGAAAGTTTTCCCAACGGATTTACTTAATATCTTGTCTAAGCGAAGAACGGCAGAGAGGAGAAGAGATGAAGAGAATTCGGAACTGCAATCTGCTCTCTGCTCGAAGAAATCGTCGATCAATGAACTTGACTTCAATCGTGAAATGATAGAGAAATATTTCTCAATTTTTTTCTGCAAACAGTGGAAAGGTGGAATACAATAATTCGGGACTGCAACTTTGTTTCACTCCGTTCTTAAGAAATCGTCGATCAATCAACTTGAATTGACCTCAAAATGACGAAAATTTTCGCAACTGGCTTACGCAACTTTTTCTATAAACGAGAAAGAGGAGAAACGAATCTGGGGCTGCAATTTTGTTTCACTTTCGTTCTCAAGAAATTGCCGACCGATCAGCCTGAGTTAATCGCAAAGTGGCGAACATCTTTGTAACGGGATCTTAAGCAATTATTTGTACGAGAGAAGAGAAATTGTGACTGCAATTATCTTTCAAATTTTCTTCTCAAAAAAAAAGAAAAAAATCATCGATCAATAAGCTTGAGTTA